AAAATTAAAATTAAAAATTAATAGAAAGTCTTTACATCAGATAGAGCCTATCTAAGTCTTTTTATCTATTCAAGTCTGTACTTCTCGAATCTAGAGCAGGCTAGAACCTACCTAGGCGTCGTGCTCCGCCACTTATGTATAAGAGAGTTTTGAAGTATAACAAACCAATACATTTGTATCTAGATGATAGGATGAAAACTGCAAAAATATGATAGGCACTTATGAAAACCAACAAGGATTTTGAACGTATAAAGAATGGAGATCCGGACTATAAGAGAAATCCAAGAAGTACAATTAAGATCTCAGAGTTCGTGAGATCCTTAAGGGTACAGGATCTCTATTTCTAAAGTTATGCTTAGGGCTTACCAAACGTTCTAGCTACAGCGTTTTAAGGACTTTATCAGCAAAGGTAATGTATTCAGAAACGAAAAACCAAATAGACCATATTGTAAAGCTTTTTGAGGCGCGTCGAATGGTATATAGTAAGTCTTGTTTTCATAAGACTTTGAAAGAACTAGAATCAATTTTCTGATGGATGACTCCACATCTACCCACGCTCACCCATACCCACACCCATAAGACGACCGAAGATACAACGTATATGAGGTCGTAACCCGTCAAAAACTCTAGAAAATCGTATGTGAGAAAAAATTTGTTACAAATACTTTCGACTGATACCAAGGACCACAATATTCAGTAACTCATCATGCTTAGGTGTGGGTGTTTAGTCGTCTATCGGCAAATTGATTTTATTTTTTTCAAAGTCTTATAAAACCAGGGTTTACTATATTCCATTCGACACGGCTCAAAAAGGTCTACAACATCGCATATTTAGCTTTTCATTTCTGAATAGAACATCTTATCCGAAAAAGCCCTTTAAACACTGTGGCCAGACTTTTAGTTAGCCCTAAGTCAAATTTTATCTGGCCGAGTTATTCTCAAATTAAATGGGTAATTTAACGTCAAATGCGCTACTTTTTAATATTAATTGCTTTTAAACAGCGGACAAGGATTTCGAAAAAAAAGACGAACGCACTTTCAACCTACGTTTCACTGCAATACTTTTGAAGCATGATTTATGGCAACAGCTTTGGACATAGAAACTTTAGAGAACCTGCAAAATGAAAAGGTCAGATTTTAAACAATACTTATTTTAAATTCTGCCAAAATTTACTTCGAAATGTATGACGCTAATTCTCAAATTTTGAGGTATCATTTTTAATAATAAGTCCAAAAAGCACTTTTTCACAGCTGTGTGAAACTTTGAAGAAGCACTGTCAAGTGTTTAGTAAAATTGAATGACTTCTCGGGGTTTTTTTCGACCCTCTATGTGTTTTGAAGTTTTCTCTCTGTAAATAATCACTACAAAGGCTAGAATGATGAGATTCATGACGACACCGAGGAGCTCTAATCAAATATGTAGGATCGAGGTCCAAATTGAAAGCTTCGTCGAACTTTGAATTACTAGGAACTTATGTAACATAAAATGTTAGGAGGACACTCAAACACAGAGATGATGCTCATAAATGACCAGACCCACGAAAGTAAATAAACGCAGAGGTTACCTGTAGTCGTAGATGTAGACGATGTTGTCGGTGATCTAGTAGTAGATCTAGTACTACTACTACTCGGTGCAGCAGCTACAAATATATAAATAAAAGAATGATAGAAATAGTAAAGCTTACGATGATAGTTTTTACTCACTTGTTCGGCTAGTTGTCACTGTCGTATTCGTGGGCCGAGCTCAAGGGAAGAAGCACAATTTTGTAATATTTTAAAGGAGCTTTACATACTTGTCGTATTTGATGCTGTTACTCTCGTTGAAGCCGTCGAATTTGTAGCTGAAATCAATCGAGACACAAGTCTTTTAGTTCTTTTCTTCAGAAGATCGCGCTATTAACCTCTCGCTGCTGATGTAGTCGTTGTACCTGAAAAAATACCAGTTAAAAAAACACATCACTATATAGGGATACCAAGCAAAAATTCTTACTTTGAGCGACCGCTGTGTTTGAGGCTCTTGTTGATGACGCTGAAAGAATTATAGAATGATTATAATTAAACACAAGAACTTTATTTAGAAAAATGAATGTAACATCGAATTGTAAGTTTTTCTTGTCAAAGATGGCGAATAATGACCAGCTTTTTCTCTACACTAAATGAATATACTGTCGTATAGTTTTTTGCGCATGACTTAGCCATTGAACTTTGCTGACTCCTTACTTGTAAGTGTTAAAATGGTTGTTGAAATGCTAATTGCACGTAGTAGGAAGAGAGTTAAGACGTCGTTCAATATAGCGCGAAAAAGAGGGCATGGTAAATTCCGATTTCCTGGAAATTCAAATTTTTCAACATCTGAGAAGTGAAGAGTCCATTTCTCAGGTTCGGGTGGATCGGGTTCTGTCAACCAAATAAAGAATGTATATCTATAGATGAATATAAAATAGATAATTTGATTTCTGGTTGGATTGAGTTGGTTTCGGTTGGGTTCGATTGGGTCGGGTTGGGTTGGGTTCGGTTGGATCGGGTTGGGTTGGGTTGGGTTGAGTCGGGTTGGGTCGGATTGGGTTGGGTCGGATTGGGTTGGGTTGAGTCAAGTCAATGAAAAATATACATCTATAGATGAATATAAAATAGATGATTTGATTTCGGGTTTGGTTGGGTCAAGTACCTGACCCAACTCAAGCCAACCCAACCCAACCAAATCACCGAGATTGAATCATATATTTTATGTATACATATAGATAAATATTCTTACTTGACTTGACTCATCCCAACTCAACTCAACCCAATTCTAACTCAGACTTCAACTTCATTTCTATATTGTTTTTTTTTGTTATAAGAGTTTCTACGACTATGCTTAAAAGCATTCAATTAAATTTCCATGAAATTTCTCCTATAGTCACTTTTTTGAATTTCCTGGAAATCAGAATTTACCATGACATGGCGAAAAAGATATTTTGTTCAGTCATACTTGTAGGGTTGTCGTCGTAGTAGACCAGAATAATAGACAGGAATTTTCTAGCGGGATGCTCGACTTGTTAAGGATAGTGTACACCAGCAGGACAATAATATTTTGTTTCGCGACATGGTTTTTTACTCATATCTCCCTCTAGGTATTTTAGCCATGAGAATGCGCAGACACCCATTGTATCCCCTGACTACGGCCTGTCGTAGATCCTATGAAAGCTAAACAGCAAAATGAAGGCTCTTCCTACTATATTTACAAACAAATAAAATATTCAAAACTAGCGCAAGCGTTGACAAATGGGAAAATACTGCTGAACCGAACTAAACTGACTAACGTATACTTTCCCTTTATTCATATAGTCAATCTCGAGTAGGCATGCGCTAGTTCCAGTCACAAGACTGATAATAGTCATGACTGTAAGTCAGTTGCGATTAGCTTACAGTTATAACTATTACCAAATCGACTTGTCGCCAATCCGATCTGTACCAATCGAACTGGTGTCAAAGTCCAACTGGAACATAGTCCATATGTTCTGATACATGTCTAGCCGTTGAGATATTAATTTCAGATTTTAGAAAGAAAAAAGTGTGATTCAATTCTCACTAGTCATTCTGGAAATCGTTGTAGAAGTTGTTGTGGAAGATGTTGTCGTTCGTATTGTAGTAGAATTCTCTGTAATCAAAGGGAATAGAATACTCAAATCTTCTCAAGACAAAGTTCAAACTCCTCACTACTAGGAGTTGTTGTTGTAATAGTCGGGAGGTCTGAGAAAGAAGAACAAATGTAAAAATTTAGGTTCACGCAAAGTAAAAAAATAAGCTTGTTAGCGCGGCCCCTTTGGGGCTAAAATGTGGAACTCACATATCTCCTTTGGTTTCATTATACTAATGACGAAATACCCAATATTTAAAATTTCCAAAAGATAATAGTTCTTTTCTAAAGATAATCGATTATTAGAAAATGCTATATTTTTATCTCTCAATTTCGAAGAGAATTTTTTTTTTCACGAAGTTGCCAAGGTCTGTAATGGGGAGTTGTCTCTAATGGTAGCCTACGTTGCTATGGTCTGTAATGGGGGGTATGTCTGTAATGGGGGAGTGTCTGTAATGGGGGGTGTCTGTAATGAGGGTATGTCTGTAATGAGGGTATGTCTGTAATGTTCTCTTTCTCCGTTGCTATGTGTCTGTAATGGGGTGGGGGGGGGAGGGGAGGGGGGGGAGCCGCCAACCTCGAACTTAAAACTTACACTCACTATTTTCTTCGAAAACATACGTGAGTTCCACAAAAATCTATTTACTTGTCATTACTGTCGTGTTTATAACCACAGCTAAACAAGAAAACACATACGTGCTAAGTTAAGGTTAATGTTCCTCATCGAACTACATTTGGCATACTTCTTAGTGTAGTATTTATCCCCCTAACCATTGTAGTAGTAGTTGGATTCGTTGTCGTGATTGAAAGTCGCGTGAAGCCCTTGGAAGTCTTGAAGTTCGTTGTTTCCTCCTTGGGTGGATCAAGGGAGAAACAGCGGACTTCAAAAGACTTCACGAGACTTCAAGAGACTTCAAGCACAGAGACTTCAAATTTTCAGAAGATCTCGAAAGACTTCAAAAAGACTGCAACAGATTTCACGGGACATCAAAAGATTTTAAGCGACTACACAGACTTCCAAAAACTTCACAGGACTTCATCAAACTTCATAGAACTTCAAGAAACTTCATAAGACTCCATAAGACTTCATTAGACTTCACGAGACTTCCTGAGACTTCAGAAGATTTCATGAGACTTCACGAGACTTCAAAAAACTTCATAAGACTTCATCAGACTTCATGGGACTTCCAGAGACTTCATTAGACTCCATAAGACTTCCTGAGACTTTCTGAGACTTCAAAAGCCGAAATCTCTGCTGTTTTCTTCTCAGAGTGAATTGAGCCTTACTCGTAACTGTTGAAGTCAGAGTTGTTATTCGGTCTAAAAGAAAAAAGTTATGTTTTTGATAAAAGTTCATCTATATTGTGTAATCATTGCATTCTTACGCACTTGGAGGACATATTTGAATATTAGCCAATGCTATTGGATAACAAACGGGTTGTTGACATCGTGTACTGTTAACACACATTGTATATGCGATTGAACATGTAACATTGTCTGAATTACATCGAACCATGGAAGTGCAAGAAAGATCGGCAACAGCACAAATGCCCGAGATAGTTCCATTAACGGTATTGGTCAATGAAAAACATTCACAATCAAGGTTCGAAGAACAAGGCAACGATGACGGTTTACAAAGAATTGGATTGCATGTCGCCAAGGCTGCACTGGGTGGTGGTGTTGTTGATCGAGCTATGACGCCGTACAGATCAGAAAGTGGAAGCATTTCTTCAAAAAGCAACGCAACATCTTACCTGTAGTTTGAAGTTGACCACGGCATAGACTTTAAAAAGAATTAAAGGAATTTTCTAGCTGGATTCTATTTAAACATACCAATCACTCACCCTGCCGTCAACAGGACATATAGTATAAGCATTGGAAGTAACTGAATTTCTTTCGTTGTCTGTATGTGTATGAATTTCAATTTACCTTTTTCTTCTTCTTCTGCTTCTTTCTATCGTTTAACTTTATGTTATATAGACTTAGGTTTTGCACAACTCGACTGTAACAAAATTGCCTTCGAGCCTTATTTTCAAGTATTGATAAAAAAACACAAAACATTGAGATTTTTTCCTTTTTTTGACCAACAACAGAAAAAAAACGACGAAAAAAAAGAGGGTTTCACTTTAGTATGGGTATTTTATCAATAGAAGAGAGCACTTTTTAAAAATAACGTACAACCAATAAACACTATTTTTGAAAGCATGTGAATTATCCCATTGAAAGAACAACACAGGTCAACAATATATCTTATCAGAGACTAGACAGAAGAACAAAAACATCCATATTTTTTGAAATTTTTCTTGTGTACCTTCTACGAAGTATAAAAAGAAGAATGAAAATTGTAAAACTATCCGAATGTGTTTGATATTACAGAAGTGACACTTGTCTATTTCCCTAATCTTTTGCAATTTTCCTAAAACTTCGAAATTTTTCGAATTTGAAAACGTGACAGTCAATTCCGCAGTTCTTCCAGGCCGAAGTATACAATATGCGTTACATCGTATATATGTTGCAGTTGAGTTTGGCATCTAGTTGAGATTGAAATCACTTAGTTCACTTTGTTTGTTTAAAAATTTTTCTAACACATATTCAAGAAAACCTATTTGTTTCTTGTCAAATTCATATTTACTATTACTTCTCGGACAATAAAAAGTATCTTTGTACTATTATTTTGTTGATGAAAAGCCATTAGTCATTCTATTTATTGTTTTTTTTTAAAACTAAATCTTACTCATCATTTTCCTTATATTGTAGTTTCTATATCAGTGGTCGGGACATGGAGACATTGGACGACTCGTCGAAATGAAATCGAGAGTATTTGAGCTATTTGTGCGTATAGAATAGATCTTTTTCAGAGCTGTGGAACATCAGGACATGGGATCGTTAGTTGAAACGAAATCAAGAGTACTTGAGCTACTCGTGCCTATAGAATAGATTTTGTTTTCGAGCTGCGGGACATTGGGACGTTGAATGCTTGCTTGCAACAAAATCAAGGGTACTTGAGCTATTTGTGCCTATAGAATAGATCTTTATCGAGCTGCGCAACAGGGAAACGTTGAATGATTGGTTGAAACGAAATCGAGACTACTTGAGTTATTTGCGTCTATAGAATAGGTTTTCTTCGAGCTGCGGGACAGCGAAACATTGCATGATTGGTTGAAACGAAATCAAGAGTACTTGAGCTATTTGTGTCTATAGAATAGATCTTTATCGAGCTGCGCAATAGGGGAACATTGAATGATTGGTTGAAACGAAATCGAGACTACTTGAGCTATTTGCGTCTATAGAATAGATTTTCTTCGAGCTGCGGGACATGGGGACATTGAATGATTGGCTGAAACGAAATCGAGAGTATTTGAGCTATTTGTTTTTATCGGTTGTATGCCTCTTCGCCGAAAGGCATTTTATCGAAAGGTTCGGGAATGCTGTAGACCATTGCGAGCCCTTTAATTCCTGCATAGACTTGTTAAACATGACAGGAGCAATACATTTTGCCCTCACCCTCACCTTTGCAGCGCTCTCCGTGGCCAAAAAAATACTTTCGATGTTGCGTTTTTCGGCGAAGAGCATACATACCTTTTTATCAAATATTGTTTTTTTTTCGATGCTCCTGATATCGGGGATTGAATGATCGTTTACATGTTTAGTGTTAGTAACTTCGTTGTTAAAAAATTGAGGGTGTGGGTGTGTGGCGTGACCCGACAGTTGAGCTCCCGACAGATGAGCCCCAACAGTTGAGCCCCGACAAATGAGCCCTCGACACTTGAGCCTCATATTAAAAAAATTTAATAAAGCCTGATGAATAATACGTCGTGGTGGATCATGCGATATTGTTGCACCAGAACTGATATTTGAGTTGAATTCCATTGATATTGTTTCTTCAGGATTTGGTGCATGAAGATGATCCGTAACTTTAATATAACCTGTTCCATCAAAACGTACACGACCAGCACAGTCATTTCGACAACAACGCCAAATAATTTGAGATTTATTTGCACGACGATAACGATAACCACTAAGTAAAAGTTGATCCTTGTTTTTTGAAGATTTCACGATTGACATTGTTAATGATAATAGAAAAATATACCAAGAATGATACAACCTTTATGAGTCACAGAAATATTGTTCGAAAAACTTGTTCATTTCTGTACAGATGATTGACTTAGCCACGAAAAATATATCGACGAGCCATCAGTACCATCGAAAGATGTCTCATGTTTCCGTGCACTATTTTCAAGTGAATTAAGCGATTCAATAATAATTTCGTGTGTTCTATATTTAATCGATGAAATTTCAATTTTGTGAGGCTCAAATGTCGGGAGCTCATTTGTCGGGAGCTCAACTGTCGGTAGGCTCAACTGTCGAAGGCTCATTTGTCGGGGCTCAACTGTCGGGGCTCATCTGTCGGAGGTTCAACTGTCGGTGCAACGGGTGTGTGGGTGTGGGTGGGTGTGGGTGTGGGGTGTGGGGTGTGGGTGTTGGTGTGGGGTGTGGGTGTGGATGTGGGTATGGGTGTGGGTGTGGGGTGTGGGTGTGGGTGTGGGAAGTGTGGGTGGGTGTGCGTGTGGGGGTGGGTGGCGGGTGTGTGTGTGTGTGGGGTGTGGGTGGGGGTGCGTGTGGGGTGTGGGTGTGGGGGTGTGGGTGGGTGTGGGTGAGGGTGTGGGTGGCGGGTGTGGGTGTGAGTGTGAGTGTTGGTAAGTATTGTTTTCACTCACACGCACACCCGCACCCACACACCCAAACCCTCGGAGTTATATCTAATGGTATTTCAAAGGTTGAGTTTACGATAGCTCTTTGTCGGATTTCGGCTGACGTCCATACCCTTCTATGAAAATGATCAAAATACCTGTTCGTCATCCACGCAGGAGAGTACGGATATAGCCCAAAAAAGATTTTAAACATTTTTTAAAAGTTTTCATGAAAGTATCAACAACACACACCGGCTATATTAGATAAAAGGTCTCAAAGAAATTTCGTCCATTGACTGAGCAATGATCCTCAATGGGTTGATTGTTACATGTGAATTGAAAATCTTCACTTCATTATTTTGCAAGCACTATTGTACTTTTTCATTTAATTGATTAATGGCTGTTCATTAGTTTTTCTTCTCGTATGGCGCTTTTTTCTTAATTAGCACTTGGGATTATACTCAGAATAGTCTTAACTTACAAATACGTTTGTTGTATATATTCATGATATCAACAGCATTAGATTTCAACGTGTTACTATGCATGTTAATGAGCTGACATACATTGATACGGATTATTTCCTGAATTTTTATGTAGATCAGTTGGAAATCAACTCATCACTACCTATCATCGGCTATATCTGCAATACTAAATGTTTTTTCGAACAGTAATAAACTATCGCCCTCTCTGCAATCCTTAGAAACATGTTGCAACCACTGGCGTTTTGAAGAATCATTTGAAATGTTTAACAAATCTCTAAAAGCAGTCTTATTTTTGTTGCTCATGATGCCAAGGGGGAACAAGCAGACTTCTATACTTGTGAAGTACAAAAGTACGAATAAGTCCCAAAAAGTACAGAAAAGTACGGAGAAGTACAGAGAAGTACAGAAAAGTCCCAAGAAGTACAATGATATATAGCATAGGTGGCGGAGCCATTACGTCTGGGAAGGCTCGAGCCTCTCCTAAATCAGAATGCTGAAGGCTTGAGGAGGCTAAAGTTAGACTATATTTTTGAAAGTTAGCTACTAAAAGTATATCGCAAGGCTCAATCTACGCCTATTTGGATTGAAAATTTAGTTGCCTTCGACGGCCATCGTCACTCGAGGATGACGAATCCAACAGCTGGATTTGAGTGATTCCTACATTGACTTAATTGGAATCCGAAAAATCTAACAAAATCAATAAAATTTTATATTATTTTATCACAATGTAGATAACAGAATCGCTCACGGTTTCCTAAGGTCAGATTTGGTCGAAAGCTGTTTGAAACTCGGGAAAAATCTGGCCCTAGAGGATCTGTGAGTAGCTCCAGCTACGTGATACCCGTCGAGTTATGTCGAGTAGTCGTATCCTACAAGATTCGATCAGCTTTGGAGTCTGATTCACCCACCTGCGACTATAAATTGCAAGAAAACCGAACACTTATGTTGCATAACGCCATAAAAAAGGCAAGTTTACGAATAAAATTCAGTAATTTCTCATTTTCTCAACGGACTTCTTATAAAGTATTAGAAAGTTTGTCAATATCGCAACGCTAAGCAGTTTTAGAAATCTTACTCAACGTCTTTTCGTACATGAATCATTACTGAAAGTAAAGCTAAGGAACTCAACTCAAAAATGACATTATGTATGACGTGAGTGCTCATGAAAAAAAAATTGTATAAAAATGCGTTCCAACGCAGACTTTTAGGAAAAAAACGCTATTTTTGCGTTTCAACGCATCCTTCTTTAAGTTCAACGCGTTTAATCGCATCGATTTTTATTTCTAACGCGTTTAAACGCATCTTTTATATTTTTTGAATCCGTTTTTTCAAATTAAAACGCAACCTAAAAACACTGTTTGAATGCATTTAGTTTTATGCGTTTGGACGCGTTTGTTCGTTATGCATTTAAATGCGTTTTTAGCCTTCTTTTATTGAAAAACGAGTGTTTTTCGAAACGCGTTACAACGTTATTCTTTTTAATGCGTTTTTTCGAGAAAAAACGAATAGTTTAGAAAAGCGTTTGAACGAATGTTTGCATGCATGTGGTTCTAGAAAAGGTGTGCTTATATGCAATAGAGATCTATTTTAACGAGAATAAATGTTGGGTGGCATGAATGTCAACATATGTAAGTTAAAAGGTATAACTGTTCAGAACGACTCTTTGTAATATAATAAGATAAAAAATATACTTGAATAATGTTGAAAAAGACAGCATGTGTTTTATACAAAAAAAAGTCAACAATTCAAGATAAGTAGTAACATGTTCTCAAACTAGGCTCACTTAACGTTAGATACCGAATAAAATAAAAGTTTTCAAATTAATAGTAGCATACATTTCCATATTCATATCATTTACATTAACATGAATATGATGATCAAAATCAATTGTCCCAAATTCAACATTATCGCACAAAACTTTTTGTGTACTAAAATTCAGCAATCTTTCATCTTTTCTATTGTTACATAAGGACTAAATTTGTAACAATAAATTATTTGATGTCGTTATTAATATAATTTTACTAGTGAGATCAAAATAACGTACATTTTTACGTCTATAAAGACCGGTAGTCTTAAAATTGTTTCGATTTGGAATAATTTAAAGTTGTAAATGTAATACCTTTTGTTGTGCATTTATTGCATACTGATAATTTTTCACCAAACTCAGCTAGATCAAAATAGAATAAAAGGAATAGTATTTATATATTTATAACTTTTCCAATGTTCTTTCAAAGAAATAAAAATTTCTATTTCTTTTCAATATTCACTACTTGTATAGGCCGTCCAGCAACGCTAGATGCTTTGTTCTCCAATGAAAATTTGAATAATTATAGTACGTTTAGAAATCTTTCGAGAGTTACATAATCAGTGTTTGGACTATGTTAGTTCCTTTCTCTTAGTGATTAAAATTGTAATGATAATTCTTGTGCGAGGTGTGATATTTTCCATCACTTTCTTTTCTTCTCTTCTATGTGATCTCGTAATTCAAAAAAGTCCATTAATTATTAAACAATAGATGCAGCAGATGTAATTTGACATACATGTAATATCATTGAACAAACTTTCTTATTATAAAAATTCTTCTTTTTTCTATTATAAATTGAAAGGTCTTTCTGGATGAGTCGGAATTATTTTTTGGAAAAAACAAAATTCTTTGATAGATGGCACTCGAAACATTGCTAATGACATATTTTTCAAATATAATTCTGTTTTATTCAAAAGCAATTTTGGATTCACATGTAAAAAAGCAAAAAATTTATAATTTTTTTTCAATGAGTGCTGTGTTAGTATTGGTCCATTTGTGTATATAATCACCAGATTCTGTACCTTTAGTTCGAATTAGATTTTTACAAGATTATTTTTTCCATCTTCTTTTTCTGCATACGAAGCTTTTCTTTGATCCAACCTTACTGTATTCTTTGCTTATTTTACCCTAATTATACACTACTTTTCGTTTTTTTTAAAATCAAACCATATACTCCGTTCGTTTATTTTACTCGAACCATGTCCTTCTTTTCGTTTGTCCCTAGTTAACCCTATCTATCCTTTCGAGAAGTGAAAATTACCATACAAACTCCAGTTAGATCTAACGAATTGTAGCAATCTAATAAGAGTTCATGTTTGAGCGATCTCCTCTGAATAATTTTGAAAGTATCCTATTTACAGATAATTTTCTAGTAATGATGGATATATTTATCTAATCTATGTATATCTACTCCTTTAGAAGTTAGCAAGAATTGTACTTGTCTTTCTTCCTCTAAAAGTCATTTTTTT